GAAACAGACGCTGGGGAAGAGGGAGGTGGATTTCTTCTCCCGCGCCTTCCTCTTTTCTTCCTACTCCTTCATGTTCCGGGGCCTCTCTGACGTTCCCTCCCTCCATTTGTCCATAAGCTGCCTTACTTTCTGGTCTATCGAGCTTCGAGTGCACCGGCCACTCCACTTCTATCCCTTCTCCCGCCCCAGGGAAGGTGGGCAACCGCTTGGCCTGGGGCAGATGCATCCCCGCACTCTGCATCTTTAGGGGACTTCCCGTTAGCGATCCTGCCTGCTCTCAGAGACCAGAGGGCAGAACGCATGACACAGCTGCACATGGTCTCGGGCCACAACAGGCCACAGGTGACACGTTCCATCAGAAAACCGGCTGCCAGCTGGCAGGAGGTTTCTACCATGCAGCAGATGTCGGCCTGTGGGCTGCTGGCAAGCCCGGGCGAACAGCACCTTCTCCTGCATACCCAACCGCCGAGGCCAGAACGAATCCCCAGTATTGCTTCCCTTCTGCACCCCAGCCCGCAGCACCAGGCCTCTCATCTTGTTCCAAGGTCAAGGTAAGTCAGGGCTGGGGCAGCCAGGTCCCCTGGCGATTTACCAGAGACGCTCCGTCGTAAAGGACGATCTCGCCGGTCGTCAGGCTTCCAGGATAGGCCAGGTAGGAATTGGAATGGTTGATAGAGAGGGCACACAGACCTGTAAAGAATAAACAGGGGGTGGAAAGCCAGAGTGCCCGGGAGGGAAACTGCAGGGCTGGAGAGGGCAGCTGACACCCGCACGACTACACTGCCACCTACTGGTGGGGCTAGGGACAGCTTCGCAGGCGTTTATTTCTGTTAGTTCTGATCAAGGGATTCCAGTACAGTAAATGCACAGAAGACCTCCTGATAGGACCCCAGCCCTGGCCTCTCCACAGTTAAGCAGTCAGGATCAAGTTTATGAGACATGCCCTTGTTTGCATTTTACCCCTAGGCTATGAAATTCGTCTCCCAATTTCAGGTTTTTTTAAAAGAATTATTTATTCAATTCCATTTGTTGTTATTATTATTATTTTTTTTTTTAATTTGACCACAGGAAGACAGAGAAAGGGAAAGGGAGAGAGTAAGGCACCAGGTCCAGGACTCGAACTGTGGGTAGCCATGTGGGAATCCAGTACCTTTAACCACCACACCACCTGCCAGCCCTCCTAATTTCAGCTTCCTCTGGGGCTACAGAAAGTTACTCTGAACTGAAATACACCTCATCGACCAGATTGTGCTCTTACCACCTACCAGGCAGCAGGGCAGCCGGAGAGCACAGAGCACCGAGCCCCAGCTCCCTCGATGGGATACTCTGGAACTGCTGCAACCCCAGCCTGACAAGGCCAGTCCTAGCATTGGCCTCAGAGCCCACTTGCACCTGCCCAGTGTTGCTCTGGGAACCCCAATTCCCAGCTCCTCTGAGTTCTTTGCCATCCAAATGTAATTTTGAGGCACTGTGAAACTGGGGAGGGAAGGCAGCAGATCCTTGGCTGCCTGGTGTGTCCCCCCAGGGGCAGGGAGCAGAAAGGATGCAGAGTTAGCATGGGACTAGCATGGAAGGACCTCGAGTAAATACTGAAGAGTTAAGGTCGAACCAAGCAGTGGGCAAATGCCGAAGGTTTCTGAGGACAGACTTTTTAAAAAGACAACCACAATGAGATGCCCACTAGGATGTCTGTCGTCCATAGTAAATATCAGTGAGGATCTGAAGAAACCGGAACACAGTACACCGCTGGTACAAAGTGAGGCACTGTTTGGAAAACACTGGCAGTTCCTCTAAAGTTAAACAGAGAGTTACCATAGGACTCAGAAATTCCACTCCTACATACATCCTCAAGAAAAATTACAACAGGTGACCACCCCAAAACCTGAACATGAATGCTCCTAGCTGCATTATTCATGACACTCCAAGGGTGGAAAGAATCCAAATGTCCAGTGACTGATGAATGAGTAAGTAGAATGTGCACTATCCTTCTTATAGAGTATTATTCAGCAATAAAAAATAACGAATCAAAAGATGCTACAATATATTGATATATTGAAAACACTGTATTAAGTAAAAGAAGCCAAAGGTCACATACTGTATGATGCCACTGATAAGAAACATGCAGGACAGACAGAAGATAGAGACACAATGTAGAGGTGGGGGCTGGCCCTGTAGCCTACTGGTTATGGGAATTGGGATTCCATATGGTCAACCATGGTTCAGATCCTGGCCCCAGCAGCTTGAAAAACACACCAGAACAGCAGAGAAGGGGTTGAGGCAGGACCATGTCCATTGGGAGGTGCTTTCTTGCTCTCTTCTGTATCTCTGTCTCTCGCTGCTAAGTGCACATGCTCTCTGGCAAATCAATTGAAAAATAGATGGGGGGAGGGCCAGCAGGTGGCATAGTGGTTTAGGTGCTGGACTTCCATATGCCCAACTGTGGTTTGAGTCCCAGATCATACTAGGCATGTGTGTGTGCCCAAAATCCTGAGAGGAGAATGGAGGAGAAGGGACTGTGGCATGGCCATCTCCGCTGGGGGGGGTGGGATTTCTCACTTTCCCTCTGTCTGTCTCTGGTGGGCGCGTGCATCTGATGGCCAAAATCTAGATAAATAAATAAACAAACAAATAAATTAGAGGTTGCTTAGGGCTGGGGAATAGGTGTCAGCTGCTCACAATTACTGTCTAGGGTAATGAAGATGTTCTAAAATCGATTGTTGTGATAGTTATTACACAATTCTATGACTATCCTGAAAGTGACTGAAACTATCGAATTGTATACTTTAAATAGGTCAACTGTAAGGCATGTGAATTATATTTCAATACAGAGGGTTTTTTTTTTTTTTTTTTTTGAGGCAGTATTTTAGGCACTCAATCTCCTGACAGTCTTCCCTGCTCAGCTTCACTAGACCAGTTTTAAGCATATTTATCTGGCAGAGACCAACTGAGGGCCTGGATTCCAGCCGGGTCGACCATGTACTGTGGGATTCCAGCCGAGGTGTGTGGCCCTTCCATGTCTGTTTCCTACCTGTGAAATGAAGAGGAAGCGTGACTTAGGACTCTTCCCAGCTTTAATATTCCAAGCTGCTAAGCCCTCATTTACCTCTTCCTTTTGAAAATATTGGGAGAGCGCTAGGAGGACTTTGAGAATAAGCCTTGAACAATCAACTCCAGTTTCACGCCCTTCAGAGTTTTATGTTAAAACAGAAATACCCCAGCAACTTTTTCAGCTAACATTGAACTTTCTGCAATGCCTAAAATAGAATCAGATGGTACTAGATTCCAACAGGAAGGGACAAAGGATAACAGCTAGGGCAGGTATAGTCTCACACATACGCCTTACCTGACAGCTTTGCCTCTGGGCTTGCACTTCGGCCAGGCCAGTCCGTCCCAACTTCATCAAGGAATCCCCCGCCCCTCAACAACTTAATGAAGGTCCCTAGAAATTCTTAGCATATTCTATACTCCACAGCAATGGTCCATGTCTCAGAAAAATCTAACCGGCTACGTGAACGTATCTTTCTACCTTGTGAAACACCTGAGGTGAGCAGAAAGGCTCTTGTTTTGTGTGTTTGTTTGTTTGTTTCTTTTTTTTTCAGACTTAGCTATTTCCAAACCGCCAGTCTTCAGTTTCCGTCACAGGTGTCGCACAATGCCTTTTTTAGGAAGGAAAGGAACTTTCTCTTTGATACGATCTTTTAAGATTGATAGTGAAGAAAATTTGCAAAGTCCAGGAAATATAAAGAAAGAGAGGAAAAACGTTGCCCACAGTCTGAAGTCACCCCAGGGCTTTTCACTGCTCTTGACATTTGAGCAGACTGCCCTCCAGTGATTTTTCTGTGTAGACATGGTGTCTGGATGTGGCTCTGGATTTGTTTTAGACTTGACACACATGATCATAAATCATTGTCAGTTATGATATCACTGGAATAGTTTGCCTATAATACTTCCTTTTACATTCTGTGAGTGTGTACGTGCTTGGCAGAGAGAGGGGGAGAGAAAGCACATCCCAGGGGTGTATGGGCACACTGCAATCCCCTCTTCTCTATGTCTCCATCTTGTCAGGATTTTGAGCATGCACACACACACATGCACACATGCATACACACACACATCTCACATGTTTTGCAAGCTGCCAGGGCTGGGATTCAAACCATGTGGCCAGCCATGTGAGATCCACCTTCCTTAATCACTAGGCCAGGGAGCCTGTAATTCGTCTGTAAATAGAGAAGTACCTGCTATCAAGTCAAGAACCCCTGGCATCATCAGCCGGAATCGAGACTTCCCAGGATTCTAAAGCATTCCCACCTCGGTATTTATCGTATTGCATGCCAAAGTTTAGGCAAATTAGCAGTGATTTATAAAGTGCAGTTTCCTCTGAGTTACTGTCTCAAACTATGCTTTCCAACTTTCAAAAACAGAAAGAAAAAAGAAAAACTCTTCTGTATTGCAAAAGCTCTGTGCTGTGATAAAGGAGAGCCTTTTTACCTGTACTACCATTTTCAGAAAGAGGACATGCTCAGGACTAAACCCCGACACTGTTCTGTTTTCCATGTTGCTATAAGGTGTAGAATATTCTGTAAAAACGTTCAGGTCTGTGACCCCCAAAGTCTGCCTCTGGGGGACTTCCGCGGAGATTTCCACCCTTGCCTGCTTGAAGCATGGACTGCTGTGCTGGCAGGAAATTAACTTGAGCCCTGTCTGGCCAAACTCTTCAGAGGAAGCAGTCTGTAATCTTCGCCACAACAGGAGTGGTGTGACACAAACACTAACAGAGGAAGGAAATTTACAGCCTCACTAGACGCTGGGCACAAAGCAACCACCGAACTCTAAATATCTCATTTATTTGCAGTTCACTAGGTCGAAACACACTCAGAATCTGTGGGCTCAAGACAATTAGACAAGTGACTCTGTCTTCCCTGTGTACCCAGTAAGGATTTAGAGAATTGAGATGCATTTTTCCATCTTAAGATTTTGTTCAGATAATAGAACTAGAGAATGAGGACATATTAGAAGACTCTTGGCCTCTGAGAGCTATGGTCACGGTTGTAACAGTTCAGAGGGCACCAAAGTTTCTTGGATAAGAAACTGGTCAAATTGGGCCAGTAGGTAGCATGGCAACTAAGGTGCTGGACTCCTACATGGTTGACCACAGTGGCTTCAAAATCATGCTGGGTGCGTGTACATGCATGCCCAAGATCCCAAGAAGAGAATGGAGAAGAGATTGCAACATCGCCATCTTCCCTGGGGGGTGATTGCTCAATTTCTCTCTCACTGTCTCCATCTCTGTCTCTCTCCAGTGAGTGCACACACCCTAAGGGTAATACCTCTCTCTCTAAAAAAAAATAAAAATAAAAACAAAAAACAAAAAACAGGTCATATTGGGCCAGCAGGTGGTATTTTAGTTAAGGTGCTAGACTCTCACATGGCTGACTATGATGGTTTGAGTCCCAGACCTGGTGGCTTACTTTCCCCCTTGCTCTATCTAGTGAGCATGTGTGCCCTATAACAAATTAAACAATAATAATAGGGACCAGCAGTTGGCATAATGGCTGTGTCGCTGGACTCCCTTGTAGTTGACTATGGTTTGAGTCCCGGACCTGGTGGCTTAAACTCACACTGGCCGCGTGTGCCTATGTGCCCAAGATCCCGAGAGGAGAATGGAGGAGAAGGGATTGCGGTGTGAAATCATCCCCCCTGGAGGGTGATTTCTCGCTTTCTGACTCTCAATCTTTCTCTATCTTTCTGCCTTATAGCAAAAGCCTCTCCAAAACAATAATAATAATAATAAATAAAATGAAATAAGTCATTTTTATAAAAAAAGATTTTAAAAAATGGTTGTGTCACTAAAGCATAACTTTTTAAAAGTTTCTTTCTTTCATGAGAAAGATAGAGGGATTTAGTGAGTGACCAATCAAGAGAAAAAGAGAGAGAGACAGGGACCCCCTCCCCTCAGGGTTTGCTTGCTGCAGCCCTCCCCCCGCCTTTCGGCCAGCCAGAATCATGGGTGTTCCCAGCATGTTCAGGTTGACCTGGATCAAACCCCAGGTCTCCCATGTGGCTCTAGCATCATATAAAAGCACCCCACCACACGTGCCACTGAGGCTAGGTCTGAAGCACAGCTTTGCCCTGGGTGGTGCTGCCCGTAAGGACGCAGCAGGGCTGGTGAGTGAGCCTAGCTGACCACCCATTGCTCACCAGCACATCTCAGCTACTCCCCCCCACCCCCAGCAACTCATGGGCTAAAATGGTCATCTGCACCTACTATAAAGTAGAAAGGAGCTCAGCAGAAACGGACGTGATAACTAGAAAACTGAGGATTTCAAGAGGTCTTTAGGTGTCTCTCCAAAGACCATCAGAGATCTAAAAAGATACATTTTGTTCAACCTGTCCCTGGTCTTTCAAAAGGAAAAGCTTAATCTACCTTCTGTTTTCTTTTACAACATTTATCTGAGATAGAGAAATACCGCCCATTATTTCTCAGTTTAAAAAATTATTTGTTCAAGGTAGAACGTGTACACGTGAGAAAGAGAGAGAGAGAGACAGGGGTGGGGGAGACCTTCCCCTGGGTCTAGTCACACCGCAATCCTTTCTCCAGGCTGTCAGATCTAACGTTCATCCACGCACGCTTCCAGAGCACTTCAGGCGGACCTGGCTGGGGAGCTGAACCGTGGTTGCCATGTGGGTTCCAGCTTCTCTTGAACAGTGCATTACTGCTGAGCCATGGAGCCTGCCCTGTTTCTGATTTTTTTTTTTTTTGAGATAAAAAGTATTTCCTTCACAAATGATACACATTTTATCTAACATAAAACATAAATAGCCTGGCTATTTATTAAACCTATTTTCTCCCTGCAAAAAGTAAAGCAAGCAATGAGTTTTCTGCACTGAAGAAAAACAACAGTATTTGCTAAAAGATAAGAGTAAGTGGAGGGAAACTCCCCTTTCCCCCAAGGGAGCATGCCCTGTCCTGACCCAGATGCAGCCCTGTCCTCCCACCTGCAGGCCATAAGCAAAGCAGCGCCCGCACCAACCCACCCACCCCTGTGGTGACTGTACCCAGCACCCTCTTTCCAAAGCCAAGAACCACAGGCAACAGTTAGCTTTCTGCTGCTGATGGACCACCCCTCCCCTGATCCATCAAGCCCATACAGGCCACCCCTTCTGGGGGCTGATTCTACACCTCTCAGGGCACATTCTACACATCAGAAGGGCACATCCTCCCTTCAACCCTGATCCACACCCTGCCAAAGGCTGCCAGAGTGCCTGCCTTGGGGGACCGATGGCCTCAGGGAACCAGCACCTGCCTGAGCTGGGGTTCCCTCTGAGTGCGTGGTCACAATAGCCATCCCTGACAGTGCCTGTCCTGGTGCTGGGCACACAGAACATCTGCAATACATACTCTCCCGGGGGATTTCAACCGCTCATTCCTAGAATGGAAAACTGACCAAAGCCCCTTCATTTACTATCTTCTACTTTGCGAAGTATGGTTCAAAGTCACTGTCCCACAGAACTTTATGATGGCTTTAGTGGCTGGAACGTTAAAGCTGAGATCAACAGTGAGGGGCCAGCCATATAGCTGAGAGGACGAGAAAACGATGCACAGGAAATCTCTACTGCACAGCGGGCCCTGTGGGGGTCGTGCTCACCAGCATTACCTTGTTCATTTCTCAGCTGATCACGTGAAATGGGTGTCATCATCCCATTCTACAGATAAAGGAAACCAAGCTCAAAGAGTCTAAGTCATTTGAAGGTTGGGGGCACACAGACCTTGAAATTCAGTGAAAATCAAAGTAGGAAACTATAGTAAATGAGAGCGAAAGCAGTCATCTGGGACCAGCAGTTAGTGTCGCTGAACTCCCATGTAGTCCACCGCGGTTCGAGTCCTGGACCCATTGGCTTAAATTCATGCCGGGTGCGTGTGCATGCGTGCCCAAGATCCCGAGAGGAGAATGGAGGAGAAGGGATTGTGGTATGGCCATCCCCCCTGGGGGGTGATTTCTGGCTTTCTGTCTCTGTCTCTCTCTGTATTTCTGGCGAGAGTAGACACACCCCTCCAAAAAAAAAAAAAAAAAAAAAAAGAAAGCAGTCATGTAATGGATACTAAATCAAAACACACTTCCCAAATATTAACTTGAATCATGAGATAGAGAAATGGCTCTAGCGAGGTGACTCCCCACCCACCCCAGCGAAGGCCTTCACATGCATGTCCAGCTCATTTAATCCACTAAATTGTCCTCTGTTATTTCAAGCTAACGACCCCAGACTACACCCACCGTGAAATGCCAGAAATGTATTAAACAGTGTCAAATCTCAAGTGCTCGCTAAAGATCATCACGCTGGCATACCATCCGAGTAGAGAGATTTCTTTGTAACGTAAGAAAACATGTTCTTTCCCAGTCAGGTTCTTTCTCCTCACCACACAGACACACCAAGTCAAAACCTGCTTGTAATTAATACACCTACTCCATCCTGAGCAACCGCAGGAAAGAAGCTGGGGTAAACACCTTTCAGCCGCAGATGCACACACTCTCCCACACACTGGCCTGAAAGGCCTCCACACGGTTGCTGACACAGGTCCCCGGTGAAGGATGTTTCCGTTAGGCCTTAATGAAAGCCACTCAGCCGGCTCTCAGGACAGATGGCTGAATATAATTTCTATCTGCCAGCATTAAAACAGACCTGGAGGCCAGCAGGTGCCGTGGTGGTTAAGGGTGCTGGATGCCCACATGGCTGGCTGTGGTTCGAGTCCTGGACCTGGCATCTTACTTTCTCGCTTTCTCTCTCTCTCTCTCGCTCAGTCCCTCTGGTGAAATTAAAATAAGTAAATAAATAAACACAGTTAAATAAAAAATTATTAAAAAAAATAATAAAACAGACCTCAAAGGTCAACACCACTGAGATACCTACGGCAGAAACACTGCTTCGGGTTTTCAATCCAAGTGGAGATGCGGCTTGGGAAAGGAACACATGGATGGGAGATTTGGAGGGGTGTCTGCTCTGATTTGAAGGCTCACCTGTTGGATTTGGAGGGATATCCAGTAGGGTCTTCAACAGCTTCATGTCTTTAATGTTGTGAATATAAATGGACTCCTCCAGGCAGACCAGCAGCCTCTGTAAATCACACAGACTCGTCAGTTTACCAGACCGACTTCTTGAAAAGGTACTGACAAACCCAAATCACCCCTTTCCTAATCCTACCTTGATGCTAAGGCTAAGAAAGACAGTTTGGGGGATGCAGTTTGAAAATTATCTCTATATACCCACACAAACACGTGCACATGTACACACACACACATACCATTATCCACTCAAAGAGAAGTATAAAATACAAGATCTTAAGAAATGTTTTTGATGGGAACCAGCAGTTAGCGTAATGGCTATGTTGCTGGACTCCCATGTAGTCGACTGCAGTTCGTGTCCCAGACCCGGTGGCTTAGAACTCACACCGGGCATGTGTGCATCCATGCCCAAGATCCCGAGAGGAGAATGGAGGAGAAGGGATTGCGGCGTGGCCATCCCCCTGGGGGGTGATTTCTCACTTTCTATCTGTCTGTCTCTCTCTGTCTGTCTGGCAAGCGCACGCGCCCTATAGCAAAAACCTCTCAAAAAAAAAAGAAAAGAAATATTTTTGAGAGAGAAATTTTTGCTAGAGCATGTACATTCACTGGAGAGACAGACAGAGAGAGACAGATAGCCAGAAATCATGCCCTGGGGGGATGGCCACACCACAATCCTTTCTCCACCATTCTCCTCTTGGGATCTTGGGCACACATGCACCTATACCTGGCATGAGTTTTAAGCCCCTGGGTCCAGGACTTGAACCGCGGTCAACTACATGGGAGTCCAGCAACATAACCATTATGCCACTTGTTGGTCCCAAGACATTATTTAGAAACTGATCCCCCCCCCCTTCCTTTCTTTCTAATACTTTCCTTTTAGAATGAGATTCCTGAACACTTTTCTGATCGGCCTCTCCTGGCCATTACAGCAGTTTGAGATAAGGTCTTTAGTTCCCCTTCCCATCTGTCAGGCTCCCCTTCAGTGCTTTTTCCTTCTCGTACAGATGTGGGTTCTCTTTGCCCTGTCGGCATCACCGAATCTCATGTTTCACCGCCTCCACATAATGGCCGGCTCTAACCCACTCCAGCACCACTCTCTGTAGCCCCGTTAAGAGCCCCGGAGAAGCCCTTCACCTCCTGGGAATGCCCCGCTGCTCCCAGAGCCCCGTGTCTGCCCGCAGCTCCCCTGGGCACAGCCTCGTCTCTCTGTGCCCTCCCTCCCCAGAGCTGTCAGACCCTTCCTTCCACTTCATATGAAAGCTTGTCAGGTTCAAAGCCGTTTCCCAATGACAGCGTCCTCCACTAAGTGAAAACAGGTCACTGGGTTAATGCACTGAGTGGTTAAAGGAATAACAATGTGCAGCCCAGAGCACGTGCAGCTGTGGGTGCTGCAGCGGCGGTCGTTGGCAATGGAGCAGTTGCCGTCCACCCTGGGCCCTGGGCCTGTGCTCCTCAGGATCACCTCCGGAACAAGCCCTGCCTCTCCTTCCAGAGATTCTGGCTTGGGGGTTTGAACAAGCACCCCCAGAGTGTAGGATGCACACCATGGTTTGAGAACCACTGCGCTCAGGCCAGCCCTTTATTCCCAGAAACTAGATGGAGGGAAGGTACCTAAGAACAACACAAAGAACCGGCGGGCTCCCCTGATGGGAAAAGCCTGCCCTACGGTTTCCCTAGTAAGATTCCTCTGGCTCTGAGAGATAAAGACCGGAGACTTTTTTGCTTTGTTTTAGAGAGATTTTTGCCATGGAGTGCCTGTGTTCACTGGAGAGGCACAGAGAGACAGAAAGCAAGAAATCACTCCCCAGGGAGGGATGGCCATGCCCAGTCCCTTCTCTTCCATTCTCTTCTCGGGATTTGGGGCATGCATCCACACACCCCTAGAATGAATTTTAAGCCACTGGATTCAGGACTTGAACTGCAGTCGACCATGCAGTTGTCCAGTGACGTAAGCATTATGCCATCTGCTGGTCTCACGACCATCAACTTTAACCAAGCAGAAAAGCAAGACTTAAATACCTTCCTCAATTTTAATTACAGATCTGTGGCGTATGGCTTGTGAATGGATGCTGAAGGGTTAAAAAAAATGGTTTAAAATTGGACACAAGTAATGGTGTTTCCCCAGGCTGGCCCCATGTCCTGGTGGTTAAGGGCACTGGAGCCCACATAGCCAACAGCACGGTTCAAATCCTGGCCCTGGAGACTTGAGAAATATGCTGGGCACATGTGTGTGCCCTAAATCCCGAGATGATGGAGAAATAGAGGAGAAGGGATTGTGGCATGACCATGTCCCACTGGGGGTGCTTTCTCCCCCCCCCTTTCTCTCCATCTCTAGTGAATGCACATACCCTCTAATTATTTTTTTTTTTTAATTAGTGTTTCTCCATGAACCATTTATTCTGATTTACCTGCTCGGTGGATCTTTCCGCCAGCACGTTCCATGCTTCGGACTAGATTAGGCTCTGCTTGTTTATGTTCTGAGGTTTCGGATGTCCTCAGGTCCCTTTCCAGCCCCACACCCAGTCCCCAGGATAGCAAGTCCCCTGACATATGCCTCTTGCAGGAATAGCATCCTTGTCTGATCTGAGCTGCATCTTTTCCCACCAGCTCTAACAGCGCCATCTGCTATGAGGCCCACTCAGCTGAATTTCAGGTCACCCCCACGCTGGCTGCAGACGGGATAAAGAGGGAGCGAAACAGACAGAAACCACGGGGAAGGAACGAGGAGCCACTCGGTCTAGTTCATGTGCGAGCATGCTTGGGAGGTGAGCACAGGCCCGGTAATTGCTTTCCCAGCAATCAGTGTTCAGTCTCAGCAGAACCGAGGTCTGGCCTTCAGTGCTGCTCATTCCCTGTCACTTTGACTTTCATCTCCTTTTCTGGGTTTTGCCAGTAATAACTCCTTTTATTACTTAAAAAAAAAAAAATTATAGCATCTACCCTTGAGCAGGATAAATCGAGCCTCAGAGGTTCCAATCCAACCAGCCTCCACTGGGATGACGAGCCTCTCACAGCAGACGGTCCAGGAGCTACAAGAGTTTACCTATCCCAACACATCCAGTTTATGGTCCTTACTTCATAAAGTATATTCCCAATTAAATATAAGAGAATGAACATCAACTAAAAGTGAAATATTCCTAAGTATTTTTCTTATATCTACACAGGGAAATATGTAAAATAGGGATTTTGTTTCCTTGTAATTCCTACTACAAATTTTTAATTTTTCCTCCCCCCTTTTTTTTTTTAAAAAAAAAAAGGAACTGTACTAGGGCTGTCAGGTGGCATGGCGGTTGGAGGGCTGGACTTTCACATGGCCAAACGTGGTTCAGGTCCTGGACCAGGTGGCTTGCTTTCTTTCTTCCCCTCTCTTTCTGGTCAAATTTTAAAAGGAATAATGATGAATCAAATTAAATAAAAAAAAATCTAAAAAAAAAAAAGTAAGGGTATTGTCTGAACACCTGATGGCGTAGTGGGCTGACTTCTACAGGAGAGGACCGGGTGCTCCTGTCCATGTCTGCACCCCTTCCAAGGGAACAGCTCTGCAGGGCACCACGGAACCCCTGCCTGGCAAGGAGGGTCATTGGAGTTGAGTTGTTTAAACCATAAGTTAAGTCCAAAACTGAAAGTTTAAATAAAAAGCAACCCCAAATACTTTCCAGAACTGTCTTGAGAACTTTCTTAGGAGAAAAGATGCCATGGGAAGAGAGAACTCTTAGATCTGGTTCCACTTACTTTTGCCTGGAGTAACTAGGTAGTTCTAGGTGCTCTGCGTTCTTAAAAGATGGCAGACAACAGCCTTAACCTCAATAAGTGCTATGGAGGGAGAGCTCGTACCTAAAGGCATAATAATTCTTCTTTGCTCCATTTGCTGATGAAAATACCAGAAAGAAATTACACAAGTAAATATGAGGACTGCTATTTGAAGGTTCTGATCTTTACAGAACATTTGCCTAAACAATCTTTTTTTTTGGAGAGGTTTTTGCTATAGGGCACATGCGCTTGCCAGTAAGACAGAGAGAGACAGAGAGAGACAGAAAGCGAGAAATCACCCCCCCCCCCAGGGGGCATGGCCACATTGCAATCCCTTCTCCTCCATTCTCTCCTTGGGATCTTGGGCACGCATGCACAAGCGTCCTGCATGAGTTTCAGCCACCGGGTCCGGGACTCAAACCGCAGGTGACTACACAAGAGTCCAATGATATAACTATTATGCCAACTGCTGGTCCCATGCCTAAACAATCTTAAACAGATAACTGGGTTGCCAAAAATGACATTTAACTTTCACAGACTGGCTATTTCTATAGACAATGATAAAAATCTCTGCAATGAAACTTAACATGCTATGGGAAGATTTCAGAGACAGCACTAGAGCCAAGATTTTCTCTTTAAACTCTTCAAGCAGAAAGCTCAAACTGCCTTTCCTTCTGCTGCCAGGAGCCTGGGTGACTTTTCTTCCTCACTCCTGCTGTGCCTCACCTATGGATCCACATCTGTTTCTCAGGTTCCTTTTTACTGTACTGCTTTCTGTGGACATAAGTGGATGCCAATCAGAATAGCTGTTCAACTCAAAGCAACGATCTTCATTCTCAGAAACTCAAGCAAGTACTCTGTCTTATTTAAAAAAATTAGTCAGCAGTTAGTAGTTTAGATACAAAGAAACAAAGTGTTGTCCTAGTGAATTCAACCACCTCTGATCTCTCTGGGAACATTTAATGGAAAGATCTGTGTGGCCACTATTATGTATCCAGTAGTCATTTGGAAAGGGATATCTATTAATATGAGCACCTTTCTACCAGGTCCTTGAGCGAAACAGTCCCTGTTCTCACAGGGTATAGAAGTCAGTAATGCCAGAAGTCTGCTCATACCCTAAACACTTATGAAATAGAAATTTATATCGTAAACAAGGATATATTGCATATTTACGATAAGAATATTTTTTTTTCCTTCAACAAAGAAACATTACAAGAGAAGACCTTCAAGGGTTAGCAGAGAAAAACAAAACCAGGAGACAGATGAGCCAGCCTGAAGGAAGCCAACGTCAGGAGACTGGCTTCAGAATGGTCACATTTTGTCCTGGGTCTCTGGTTCTGTCACGACCACCATCTGCAATGAATGCCATGACCTAGAGCTGGGACCAGATGAGGTGCCCTTGCAGTTGCTCACTGGGTGACACTGGGCCAGAGTCCGACCCAGGGGGAGATGGTGAACCCAACCAGTCTGCGGAGATTGTTCAAGAGAGAACACGAGCTGGAAGGACCAGGGCGGACCCAGAAAGTGACTCCACGTGGAGGAGACTGTACAATAGCCTGAGTGTTAAAATCCGCTTTAGAATTTGATGCTTATTTGAAAGACATTCATCTTTAAAGATGTTCATCTTTTCTTCAGCCCCAATGAGTGGAAGCCTTGAAACCCTGAGGAGTCTTGGGACCAGCAGATGGCATAATGGTTACGTTGTTGGACTCCCACGTGGTCGACTGTGGTTCGAGTCCCAGACCCGGTGGCTTGAAGCTCATACCGGGTGTGCATATGCATATGTGCCCAAGATTCTGAGAGGAGAATGGAGGAAAAGGGATTGCAGCATGGCCATCCCCTTAGAGGGTGACTTCTCACTTTCTGTCTCTCTGTCCCTCCGGTGAGTGCATGTGCCCTATAGCAAAATTATCTCTAAAAAAAAATGGAAAAGAGAAACCCTGAGGACTCTCTCCCACTCACTTGCCGGTTCAGCCTTATGGACAGGATGTTGCTGGAGTAGCTGTAATTACAGATCTCTGTGCCTTTCTTGAAGTGGTAGACATTCATCTGCCGTGGTTTTGCGTGACTGACCACCACCACCAGGCTGCTGGAGAAGAGGCGCTCCACAATGTACACGTCCGGGATTTCATCTGGAGACAAGGCAGCAGAGTTACACGACAGCTCGCTGCGAGGGCAGTCCAGTCTCCGGGACGCCGGGCACAGTTCATGCCAGCTGGGGACCGTCCATGGCTGTCTGGGCGCTATCCCTTAGCATGCATGTACGATGGTCCAGCTGCCTCCCAACCACCTTGCAGGGCAGCACTTACAGTCTTTCCATCCATCCATCCATCCATCCATCCATCCATTCATTCATTCATTTACATATATTTTCAAAGGGTGAGTGCACTCACCAGAGACAGAGGGAGAAATAAAGTACCCCCCCAGTGGGGTGTAGTCATGCCACAATCCTTTCTCCTCCATCTCTCCATGCGATTGGGACTTTGGACACACATGCACGTGTACCCAACATGTTTTTTAAGCTTCTGTGGCCAGGGTGAGAACTGTGGTTGGCCATATGGGATCCAGCTCCCTTAACTATTTGGCCACAGGACAGCTTAAGTTTTTCTAAATATCTAAAGTAAGAAAAGCCAGTGGCTAGAACACACAGTCAGGATTTCCAGAGCTATCTCTGACACTGTCTGTATGGTCAAATCGCCCCTGCAGGCCCTAGAGCTCCACTCATTTGCTTTTAAAATACACTGGTGAAACTTTCAACTATCTCAATCTACATTTTCCCAGAGAGAGATTTCAAAGGAGTGGCTATTTAGTTGGGTGCCTCTGTTTTCAGAAGTCTTCTTGTCCTGCTAGGTGGGGTACCATTCTGGAGGGGACAATAACACTTAGCTCTGCACCCCCAGACAAAGATTCCTTGATTGGCCTAACCTTAGTCAGGCTTCTGAACCTTCTCCTAGGCCTACCTGGGTAATTTTCTGTAAAATTCAGTTTTAGCAGATGAACCCCGCTAAGTCAATTTAGCCAGGACCCCCATCCTCAGTATCGGTCACCCTCGATATCTAATCAGATTCTACAACCTCACCCTGAGAGACTTCTGGTCACCCTGGCCTACCTTCAGCAGAAGTCCTGTTAGGTCTCTCTAGTCACAATGCTCCTTGGCCACAACCCCCCACTGTCCCATGCTGACTCAGAGTTGACCCCAGTTTCTCTCCCTACTGTACAGTCCCTGCATCAATTGCTATGGACCGTTGAAGTCTCTCTGACTGGACTTTAGTGTCACTGAATCATTCTTCTACAACAGTCCCTTCCCTATCTGGTTGTGCTCTGGAATCTCCTTCCTGTTGAACACAATCTGGACATGGGTACTGTGACCAGGAGAGTACCCGTGTGCTCAGAAGAAGGTAAATTAGGAAGCCTCCAGGTTGAGGCCTCGGTGTCTTTCTGAGAATGTTCTGTTCACGTGCACGACTTTCTCGTGCCTGGGCAAGCCCCGTAGGGAATAATGTGGGACAGATATCATGACAAGAATAATTTACAAATAAATTAGGACCCCGAATTCTTAATTACCAAACCACTTTCGTTCCAAGAAAGGTTGTATTTTTTTCACTATTATTAAGGCATAAACTATTACTGTGAGGCTTTCTTCTTCATTTCTTTTATTCTTCTTTCCTTCCTTCCTTCCTTCCTTCCTTCCTTCCTTCCTTCCTTCCTTGTTTCTGCTACAGGGCACATGCATTTACCAGAAAGACAGAGGGAAAGTGAGAAATCATCCCCAGGAGATGGCTATGGTGCAATCCCTTCTCCTTCATTCTCCTCTTAGCATTTTGGGCATGCACACACATGCCAGCATGTTTTTCAAGCCATCAGATCCAGGACTTGAACCACACAGTCAGCCATGTTGGGTCTAGCACCTTAACCTCCATGTCACCTGCTGGCCCCATGAGGATTTCTTTCTTTTCTTTTTTAGAGAGATTTTTTTGCTATAGGGCACATGTGTTCACTGGAGAGACAGAAAGTGAGATATCACTCCCCAGGGCGGATGGCCACACTACAATCCCTTTTCTTCCACTCTCCTCTTGGGATTTTGGGCACGCATGCACACACGTCCAACATGAGTTTGAAGACGTAGGTCCAGGACTCAAACCATGGTCAACTACTTGGGAGTCTAGCGATGTAACCATTACGCCATCTGCTGGTCCCAAGGATTTCTCAATATAAAAAGAAAATGTTACTTATGCTATTGCCAAATCTTCATAAGAGCTTTACAGTGGTTTTTAGGCAGGTAGAGGCAATTATGTATATTTAAATATGAAAAATACTGCCTCTTTAAGATTGATGGTTAAAAGAGGGAACAACAGAAAGCTTGGTAGCATGGCAGATTAAAGTCTCGAGGGAGGAGCTGATGTTTCCAGGATCTCTCACACACACTTACTGCTTCCGTGAACTTGGTCCAGTTGTTCCACCGAGCTCAGCGAGAACAGCTTATAACCAGATTTGGTTCCAATTGCTAGGGATCTGTGAAGACAGTGACAGCACAAGAATGATGACAGGTACTGTATCCCATTCCCAGATCAGCCTGAAATGGACAAGTCTTTCCCCTGAGCCTCACCATGTCTGCAAGCACACATCTCTAGGAGGTTAGATCCTTGATAACCTTCTAAATAGTGAAGCAGGTCTTGTCAGGCAGGCAGGTACAATAAAAGAAAAAAGGTCAAAGGCAACTAAAACAAAAAAAGCAAAATGGCTAGGAAACTGCGTGGCCTGTCAGTAAATAAAATGTCAGATCTACATGTTTTCCGAGCTGCGAGGACATAGGACAAATGGAACATTTAAGAATATTCAGAATAAGGTCAATGGTAATGCAACTAGACTCCTATAGGAAGGTCCTAGGTTTGAGTCCTGGAACCTCCCAGAGCATACTAAGGGTCTGTAATCGGGGCTGGTGGATGGATTGTGGCGTGGAGAGCTTGTCGGGGGTGCCTGTCTGTCTCACTCACTTTGTTTCTCTCTTAAGAAATACATTTTTCAAAAAAGAATATTCATAATAGTTCTATCTCTAACATAATTAGAGGTTTTCATTTTGTTTGAGAGGCACTTCCTAAGAGGTAAATTATGTTTTCTTTGTTTGATGACCTTTTTTTCCCTTAAAAAAAAATAAATATAGGGCTAGCAAGTGTCATGATGGTTAAGGCACTGAACTCCCACCTGGACGGCTGCAGTTCAAGTCCCAGACCTGCAACTTGCTTTCCCCCCGCCCCTGCTCCACCCTATGAGTGCACATGCCCTAAAACAAAATTTAAAAATAATAAATTCAAACACAACTGGAGAGTTTATTGGGTTACTGTTTTAAGTTCAAGTACCATAAGAAGCAGCTAGGGGTGAGAAATTCCACTTTAGTCTATGTTCCACAGAGTTACCATCAAGATCAGCAAACCAGCAGTTAGCGTAATGGCTATGTTGCTGGACTCCCATGTAGTCGACCGTGGTTTGTGTCACGGACCCGGTGGCTTGAAACTCATGCTGGGCGCGTGTGCGTGCGTGCCCAAGACCCCGAGAGGAGAATGGAAGAGAGGGGATTGCGGTGTGGCCATCCCCCCTGGGGGGTGATTTCTCACTTTCTGTCTCTCTGTCTCTGGTGAGCGCATGCGCTCTATGGAAAAAGTTTCTCAAAAAAACCCCAGCAAACAATACAAAGACTAAATACTTATCTGGGACCATGTTGCCACCCTCCCCCAAAAATAATCTGTTTTTTTTTTTTTTTCAATTTTTTACCTTTCAACCAAAAGGGAAAGGCAAGGTATGAGTTTTCCTTGGCCTTGTGATAAAAGCTAAGAGTCAGCTTTGGTCATCAGCTGGGACTCTCCACCCAGCTCTCTCCTGCTTTGCCCTCAACACCTCGGTGATGACAGAACCTCACACAGAGCACAGGCAGGAGCAGCAAGCTGCCTCTGAACACTTTCTCTCTGGGAACATGGAATGTCAGAGCTGAAATGGACCTTACAGTGGTTTAGACCAACTTTCTCGTTTAAAGCAAGCATGTGGGAACCTGATGGTGGCACGGAGTAAAGGGCAATGCCCAGTGACCCACATGGGAAGGCTGCAGGTTTGCATCTGGAGACCTCCGTGAACACACTGGGCACATGTGCATCCATGCCCCAGGGCTGGCTGGGGGTGGGGGTGGGTCACAATGTCGAGACCCCATTGGGGGATGCTCTCTATGTCCCTGTCTTTCTTGCTCACAGATGAAATCAATAAGCTTAAAAACAAAATAAATGGACCAGCAGTTAGTGTAATGGCTATGTCGCTGGACTCCCATGTAGTCGACCGCAGTTCGAGTCCCAGACCCGATGGCTTAAACTCATGCTGGGCGTGTGCGCATGCGTGCCCAGGATCCTGAGAGAAGAATGGAGGAGAAGGGATTGCGACATGACCATTCTTCCCTGGGGGGTGATTTCTTGCTTTCTATCTCTCTGTCTCTCTCTGTCCTTTTGGCAAGCGCACATGCCCTATAGCAAAAACAAAACAAAACAAAACAAAAACAAAAACAAAAAACCTCTAAAAAAACAAAAACAAGGGACCAGCAGTTGGCATAATGGCTATGTCGCTGGACTCCCACGTGGTCGACCGCAGTTTGTGTCCCGGACTCAGTGGCTTGAAACCCACACCAGGCGCATGTGCATTCGTGCCCAGGATCCCGAGAGGAGAATTAAGGAGAAGGGATTGCAGCGTGGCTATCCCCCCTGGGGGGGTGATTTCTCGCTTTCTGTCTCTCTGTCTCTCTCTGTCTGTCTGGCGAGTGCACGCGCCCTATGGCAAAAACCTCTCAAAAAACAAAAACAAAAACAAAATAAAACAAACTCATGCAATGGTAAGATTCTTTCTTCACAGGGAAGCACATACTATAATAAGCAACCAACTACTATGAACCTGGAGGGTCAAGGCTCTTGTTTCACGAACCTTAAAAAAGAAGAAGGTCACGGGGCTGGTAGGTGGTGTGGTGGTTAAGGCACTGGACTCCCACATGGCTGACTACGGTTTGAGGCCTAGACCTGGCAGCTTGCCTTTCTCTCTCTCTCTCTGCTCCTC